GAGTCAACCTTCACCAAAGAGGCGTACGCCAAGTCCCAACCTACGACAGGGGAATGGGATGGTCGTACCAGATTGGCACCGCCGCAACGGCCCACCTTCAATCAACACATCTCCAGCTCGAAGTACGCTAAGTCTTTCCTCAACTGCCAATTTTGCTCCGCCGAGTTTGTCTCAATCGGCAACAAATACGCCAGGAAAACCCTCACCTCTGTACTATGACTATACGGAAGATTTTGAGGTAGAAACCCAGACTCGGTCAAACTTGGAGCCTCCACCGCAATTCCAACTACAAAGAACAATTCACGAAGATCGACCTTTAAGTTCAGCACTTCGACCTCTTGCCAATAGTCTTCCATCCAGACTCAATGGAAATAGTAGCCACCATCTTCGTGCATCGTCATCGACCTCAACCATAATTCGACATCCTATGAGGAAGAACAGTGCAGAAAGTGGAAGTGGAATTCCAAATAATGGTGGTCATATTCGAGCTGCACTTAGTATCGACGCAAGGAACTGTGAAAACTCTGCGCCATCAAACAGTGTTCTTGATGATGCCAGCTCTATAGATATATCAAGTTTAGGTGCCAATGCTCAAGAGTTGAGCTCGCGGGTGTCGAGAGCATTTGGCCTACACCCTTCACCGCAATTTGAGGTCACGATTACCTCAAACTGCGAGAAAACTGAAGTCAAGGAGACCGAGCTTGCACTTGGAGAAGTTGATAATGTGATTTCAAAAAGCGGACTTCAACAACGGAGTTCATCATTACCAACCACAAAAATAGCAGGTTTACTAGAAACTTCTCCATCGATCATCGAGCCACAACAAACGTCTACAAAAGGCCATACCAGCGAAGGTATTATTTGTACGCCTGGAAATCAATCTCCGGAAAGTCTTCTGGATAACACCGAGCTCCAGCAACCAGTGGAGGATACAGATGAATGTAACGGTTCGTCCAAATTCAATTCTGTGCGTACAAGCAAAGTTAGATCCAGTGGCTTCTCCACCATTACCAATGGTCTTGATGAATTAGCCGACCTGATTGCGACCGATGATGCTGGTCGGTCCAATACCTTTGACAATGAATGTACTGGACTCCGGAGAACTCCTATGATGTCGCCAACATTGCCTCGAGACTCCTACTTTGATTCTCCCTCGGTGCACCGTACCAGCCCTCCGTTATCGCTGATCAAAAATACGAAACAAATCTCTGCTCAAAATGCGGCTACTGATAAAAGCCTCGAAGATGGGCTTCAACTTCGTGAGGGGCGAATCGAAGAGGACAAACTACCCGACTATAGGCCATCCGAGTTTCAGAGCCTTAGTGATCAAGCTCCAAGTAAGATCATGCCTAGATCTGAGTCTCCAATGTTAGCACCCAAGCCTATCTCACCAGCAAGGGAGTTGAAATTGAAGAACAGCGTGCCACAGCTTATGAAGTCTCTCCCCAAAATACCCGACTCATCAATTCGTGGATCGACAGTGCCTGGAAGGTCTAGTCTTTCGGATGCTGATATGCCTTTTCATCTCTCGAAATTTTCTCCAGAAGGGAATTTTGGAACAATCGAGGAACACACAGTGATCTCATTGCCAAACGACTTACCTAAAACTTATTCTTCTACAGACAAGGAGACGGTCAAAAAGTCAACGGGGCAAGCTGAATTGATCTCTAGCCCAGTTCAGAAACATAAAATTGATCCATCTAGAGAGAATCATGGTCCTCGCTCTTCGCCCATGAAGTTGAAGCTGAAGGTTAGAAACTCTGTTGTAGAGAAGACATCATCTTCGGATCTTCGGGCACGAAAACATGAGGAGACTTTCTCGTGGGCTAGTTCGCAGGACAATCATTTACCTCCGATTAACCAAGAAGAAAAAAGTGGGGACTTGAAGCCTACTAAGCTCAAATTGAAACTTATTAGAGCTACAGGCTCAGAAGCGTCCGGAACTGTAAGAGTCAATAATGCTTCTGGAGACCAATCCAGATCCAGCAACGATCTGCATGTCTTATGCCCGAAAGATTTATTTACGCCTACCAGTGGAATTGACAATATATTCAGGCAAGTTAGTAAGCATCTTCATTCACGGAGACCTAGTGCGAATAGTGATCAACAATGTGGAGATGTTATTGAGATGATGCCAAGCCAACTATCGCTGAATTTGTCTCCTCGCTTGAATCTTAGCGTGCCTCATGCTGATCTATCTGGAAACTTGCCGAGCCCCACTGACGCCCGAAGCTTTTTCTCCGATGACAGTTCTCATTGCAATGGTGGTCATGGTTTACGAAAAAGGATTTCAAACTTTCGAGCTCGCGTTGGTGTGCCATACGTAGCTCGTAATGGATCATATTCTTGTGATGACATAGTCTGGAGAGATCAAGTTGGAGGGGTTGGCCAATCGCCTCTAGCTGCCAAGTCCGTCGCTGATCTCAATGCCGCGGGGGCCAGCTTCGTAGATTCGCCAAATCCTCGACGTTCAGAGCATAGGATGCATGGACATCGGTTGCGAGCAAAAGTGTCTGAGTGGTTTCGTGGAGCTCGAGCTGCTATCTCCGCTCGTGTCAAATCACGAAGTACAACCAGTACTGGTAATGAGAGATTAAGGGCTAGTGCATGATTTACTGTACATGACACTGTGTCTCCTTGTTGATATCTAGCTTGTGATGCTTGTATTGAGTTTGTCACCGGTTTTGGAGGAAAGATACTAGTCTGGTTGTTTTTTTTTCTTTCATGTTTTTGCTGGTGGCGTTTGGGCGTGTCAAGGCCGAAATTTGTATGGGATGGGAGGGGGTGGAGTTTTAGCTCACTAGTGATAGGAAACAAATTAGACTGAAAGAACACAATAATTTTAATGAATATTATATATGAACATGATAGAAGAGCCCGCATTGGTGTATGTGAGTCGCTGGAGTTTGTATTTTGAGGTGCAGGTACTACTCGAGTATTTAGTAGCGAGGAAGAAGCGAGATAGAATCAGTCATAATGTAGAAAAAATTCTTGTGTAATCTGGATTCATTACGCAATGATTTCTTGAAGGCGAGCTTATGCCTCATGGTCGTGGAAGCTAAGCTAGTCCGCAGCACTAAAATGAACGCAGGTTGAGGAAGATCAACAAGTCTCGCTAAAAGTTTCCTGAAGTTTTAGACTAGATAATTTTAGTGGAAGATTATCTATATATAATTGAGTAGATAATTGTTATTGGATTAGAGTTTGGATTAGTGATTGGGGATTGGGGATTGGGGATTGGGGTATTAGTGATATGGTGATGGTATGGTATTTTGAGGGCAAATCTTAGGGGGTATATATAGTAAGTAAATCTTGAGAGGGGGGAAGGTGGGAAAGTTGGGTTAGGAGGGTAGGGTGAGGTCAGGTAAGATTGTAGTTGTGATTGGCTCGCTGGTTATGGGTTGGTTGTTGAGTAGAAGGGGGATTGGATTTTTTCGTAATGTGTTGTGTTGTAGTTTGTAATCTCTATTCTGTGATTTCTATTCTATTTTATCCTATTCTTTTTAATTTGGTTTATTCTGTCTGATTTGATGGGACTTGGTTTGTATAATCCTAGGATTGTAGTCTTTATCATTGTGAGAATGATCGTGAGGAGAATGGGAGAATGACCACAGGAAGGATGGCCATGGGAATGGGAAGATGCTGAAAAGATAGGTTTCACTTCTACAGCAACGCAGCGTCTAAAGCTAAAGTGTAAAAGCTAGATAGAATGTAGGGCCATGGAAGTCAAAGCTTGATGGACTAATTTTTGGTGGGTTTGATAGTTAGTCTTTAGTTTTCAGTTTGCTGTTTCTTGATTCGAGTTTCTTGGCTGCGTCATGGATGAAAGATGGGGATATGGAGAATGGGGAATGGATATATTAAGGGAATGGATGTATTGAGGGAATGAATGTATTAAGGGAATGGATGTATTAAGGGCATATATATATTAAGGGAATGAATGTATTAAAGAAATAAATGTATTGAGGGAATAAATATATTAAAGGAATGGATATATTAAGGGAATAAATATATTAAGGAAATAAATATATTGAGAAAATGGATATATTAAGGACATAGATATATAAGGGAATGAATGTATTAAGGAATGAATGTATTAAGGGAATGAATATATGAGGGAATGGATATATTAAGGGAATGACTGTATTAAGGGAATGAATGCATTGAGGGAATGGATGCATTGAGGAATGGGGTTTGGGGATTTGGGGGGGGGGGGGGTTTCGGAATCGGGAAGGGGGGGTAAATTTTGTATACTGAAAGAGTTGGTACTCGGATTTGGGCGGGGGGAAGGGGGGTATTGAAAGATTGATGGATAAATAGATGGATAGATAGATAGATGATCTGGTGCTGACAGAATAACTTGTGAGTACTTCTATACTAAGTAGATAGATTATAGTCCGTAGTATAGCGCTCATGATTAACTTTCTCCTCCTATATAGGCCCGAAGAAAGGTTTAGGGGGAGGAGGTTGGAGAGAGGAGGGGGCATAACTCTAAGCAAATTGCAAGTTGAAGCGATGGTGATGATGAAAGCCTAGAATACTGACATCTATTTAAACCCATACTCGTAGATGTAATTTATAGCTAACAAGAGCCAAGAAAGGAAATGCAAGGTGATTGGATGTTAAATCATGTTGGGAGTTCAAGCTGAGTGTATGTGTGTTGGAGCGAAGGGAAGAGGGGATGAATAGACGTCATTTTTGTTATCTAGTTGTTGTGATGGAATGAAGATCAGTTCTAAGAACTAGTATATAGTTTGCAGTGGGGAATAAAGGCTCGTTATATCTTTCCCTTCAACATCTCATGAGTGTTGGGTCCTTTTCTTAGTCTTGTTTACTCCATACCTATTGAGAGAATATAAGATACAAGTTGAGTGCATATACCGAATCCTGAATTATATGCATACAACTTTCGATCTTTCGATCTTATCCGTTCATCTCTTTCTTGATAGTCTCCTACTCTAGCTTGTCTCCCACTATCAGACACAACTACTCACATCAAAATGACAAACATAGCGCAAATATACCGACCTCTCTTCGGGTCCAAAAAGAATAAGAATCAAGGACTTAGAGTTGACACGAATGTCGTTTACTCAACGCCTACGGATGTCATGACACCTCCATCCTCCGGCGCTCTGTCGGATTCTGCCATGTCGACTACAAATTATCACACAATGAGAGGCAATACCAATACGATTACACCGCCTGAATCACCGGTGTCGCCGTTGGGAGGATCGATGAGCAATAGCTATGGAGATAGAGATGGAAATTCGAGTTGACAACGAACGAATAGCATGAATCCTAACCAAGAATATCGGCGAAACCCTCAACCAGATATGAGAGTGATAGTGGAGGGTGCAGATATTTCAAGTCCGGGTTCAGCAGAGTTTATCGAACACGTGAGTGAGATTATTGAAGACGAAGAGATGGGTACGACCGAGAATTGTGCGGAGAATCTCGCAGAAGACGTTCGCCCGGTTAGAAGTGAAAAGAGGATGAGCTTTTGGAGGTTTAAGGGGAAAGGAAATCAAAGGGAGACGGACGAGGTGACGCCTCCGGTAAGTGGGGGTGTGATTGATAGCTCCAACCCTCGTGCGTCTGATGGATCAATTGGCGTTAAAGTTGGGCCTAGTGGTGGATTTCCATGGTTTAAACGAAAGGGGAGCAGAAAGGGGCAGGAGAAAGAGAAGGCGAAGGCAAAACAAAAGGAAGAAAGTGAAGAAATTGTTGAGACGTCACCAACTACACCTGTGTTCAATTCGCCTTCCTGGGGTTCAAAATCGACGAGCAATGGAAAATGGAAGGGCAAAGAGATTGGGAACGAGGGAGATAGGAGGAGAAATAGGAGTGAGGGCGAGGTTGCACTATTAAAAGAGGTAAGAGAAGGGGAAGAGGAAGACAAAAAGGGAAAAGGCAGAAGGTGGACACTACCTCGGATTGGAAGAAAGAGTGTTATAGACGCGCAGAAAAAGGAGAGTCCATCGGAACGGTTGGAGAGAGAGCGGCTGGAGAGAGAACGGGAAGAACGGAACATCGCTAATAGGGCAAAATATCCCGATGGTGTTCTTGATTGTGTAAGTTTCATTTAATTTTAGGTTGTGATTTTTCCATTAGGTAGGTGCATTTAGGTTTGCGCAAAAAGAGGCTAATTTATTTGCTCTTGCTTTCAGTGTAAAGACGAATTCAATGATCAAGGACAATGCGCTGAAGGCCAAATGAATGAGTTTATGTTAACTGCTAAGAATCTCAAGGCCGAAGCCAAGGCCAGGAAACAAAGTGTCACTGCTCGAGTAAGACCCTAGAACACGGCACCACCAACAATGAACACGCGCTCTTCTTCACGCTTGACCCATTGAATTATCTTGTTGGCACCTTGAGCCAAACCCGCGCGTGAGGCGTTAGGGCCGGCTACACAGTAGAATTCGAACTGGGGGGTTGTCCAAGCGAGGGAGATACTGTCGCGGGAGACGCAATGGAGTACTTTGAGATGGGAATGCTTCTTGTGGGTTGCGGAGTGTAGGTTTTGATATCGGTTCATCAGTCTGATATTGGTGTTAGTGGTTTGTGGCTATCTACGATGCTTACAATTGATAGCATGTAACGATACCCTTCATAGCTACTTTGCAGTATTCTATAACACGGTCGCTTTGGTATTTAATAATAAGAATAAGAAATGGACTATTGTATCTTACCTTCGACGACTGACGAGGTTGTTGTAATAAGGATCAAATGATGGCATTGTGAATTGAACATTTGCTCTTGACTTGTATAGGAAATGTCGCAAGGGCGTTCCCGGAACAATATCAGTTGTCTTTGGACGCCCCTGGCGAACGGCAGCTTTGATGATGTTCATACTTCCATTCTTTTTGAGTTGATAGACCACTTCGTCCCGCATTTGTTTAAGCTCAAAAAAGCTTTCCTTATCAGCGCTTATGAGTAGCACTGCAACTTCGTCTTCCGTTCGACCTTTCTTGTTCTCGGAGACATTATCTTTAACAGTTTTCCCATTTTCCACGCTTAGGAAGCTCACATACATGTAGAGGTATCCTCGATTGTTAAATCCTGGGAGACATAAAGGAATCCAATTCTCCCCGCCTCCAGCTCGAACCCCACCGGCTTCGAAAAGCATGTTGAATATAAGTTGGAGGTCGCTAGGATGTAACGAATGTCGTTTAGGACGTATCACACTTACAAGCCTACCGCCTGCTACTATCAATCCGTATAGAAGCTTGTCGGTTCGTGCTTTCAACAGAGTATTGTTAATAACATGTCGTTGGGACTTCCGTATTTTTAAACATTCCAATGCAGATAATAATGCAGATGGAGAGCCTTTAGTAAAGGTGTCCGCGAGTGATGATAGTAAGGATTCGGTTCCCTCTAAAGGTCGGCGAAGATCTGTGTTTGGTCTGTTTGAGAATAAATGTGTAAGAGTTGGTAAGGTCAAGGTTGATAAAATCTGCATATACAACGCTTCAAGCTGACCCTTCAATTGAGCATCGCTCTCGCCAAGTTTACTGATAGCAACAAAATATAAAGGGCCATCGGTTGAGATCACAAATCTTGTACGGCCTGCAGTGAATCCTGTAAGGGGATCTTTTGAGCCCTCGTAGAATGATATGATCGTTTGAATAATTCCAATGTAGCCATTGATAAGGTTTTGATCTCCATGGCGACTGTATATAGGTTTTCCGGCAGACGAGAGAATCAAGTAATGCTTAAGTTTTGACTTCCATTGTATAAGTAATTCCTCTTCGTTGCCGCCCTTGCTATCAACCTCCCCTATTTCGTCGAATTCGCGGTCGAAATGTACAAGAGAAGTATCTTCAAACTCCTCTGCCTCGTCAATCGGCTCCCCATGATCTGCTTGTGAATTCAACAATTTCCATGCCGGGCTTTGCGCGTTAAGTCCATCATCAAGTAGACTTGCAAGATCTCCATTTGCCTTTAAGGTTGGCGCATAACTCATGAGGCTTGCATTATCGTCATTGTCACTTCCCTCGAGATTCTTTTTCTTGCTTAATGAAGAGACTGATGAAGAAACACCGTGTCCCAATTTCGTTTCCGATACAGATCGGCTGACCGGTGTAGAAAAAGTACCTCTTGTGCCATCGGGGAACGATAATGTCTGTATGTCGACTGACGATAATGCCGTGGTAGGTTGAGACTGCAATACCGGTCGCTTTGGAGCTCCAGAAGTCTTGGGTCGTTCTGGTGTCTGGAGTGGTGGACGTCTAGGGGGCAGAGGAGGCCTTCGCTCTTTTGCATCATCGTTATCTAAGGTATCATGTTTGTTTGCATCATCCTCGGGGGCCTTTGTGTCGAGTGTTTCTATAGGGGCTTCGGAAGCAGCATCGTAATTCACGCCATCTGAGGCCGTGGATTCATCTTCACCGGTCATCGCATAGGTCGTAGCATCATTGACCGTCGCTTTCGCAGACGGAGATCCTTTATTTGTTGCATGTGCTCGTTCATTGGGAGCTGCATCCGAGAGGTCAAGAGAAGCTCCCATGAGGTCCCTGCGGGGAAGGGGGTACTCCAACGGAACGGTGAACTCACATTAAATAATAATTTTATAACTGATTTGTTTACAGCATATTCATGCTAGACTTGCAATAATAACTTACCACTATACAAATAGTTGTGAGTTCTTTTGGATTTCTCGAATTAACAGGGATATTTAAGGCTGTAGTTTATGCGGGCAGGGCTGGAGCCACTGAATGATGGAATTTAGCGACAACCTGTCAGCCTTGGGAATTTGAAGAGGCACATTGAATCGACAGATGAAAGAAGCCACGCGTACGTCATGAATTCATGAATTAATTGCAAACAACGACAATCGAAAGATGCAAAGCGTCTTTAAATCTACTTTTGTGAAGTGCCACAAGAATCATGGCCCTTGAGCCAAGCTCTGGCCGTCAATCGGTATCTCCTGCGAGCTCAGGAAGAGCATCACCAGTTCCGAGAAAATGGAGGAACCAGTTGGGAGGAGGTAGAGCTCTCAGGTCTTATATCATTGCATATGGCAGAACTGATAGATTGTAACAGATGAACCTCCGAATAAAGATAAAGCATTCCGCAGATATGCATCCGGCGTCGATCGTTCGCTCTCGCTGTTTGACACAGCCTTACAGGAATGGGCGGATTATATTTCTTTCTTGGGGAGGTTATTGAAGGTGTGTGGTCTCAAGAATGTGAACAGAGGAAACATGCTGAGACAATGATTATAGTCGTTACAAGCACATCCTACCAATATAGCTACTGTCCCATCCAAAGCGATTGTCGCAAAACGTCTTGCTCAGTGTTTAAATCCTTCGCTGCCTTCAGGTGTACACCAAAAAGCTCTTGAAGTTTACGGATATATATTCTCGATGATAGGAAAAGATGAACTATCTAAGGATTTACCCCTCTATCTACCAGGGTTATCGACCACTCTGTCTTTTGCGTCCCTTTCTGTGAGGGGCCCGTTCCTTGAACTTCTGGAAAAACACCTATTAAAAATTGATGGACGATCACTCCGGCCAGCTTTGAAAGCAATCATACTTGCTTTATTACCTGGTCTTGAGGAAGAAAACAGTGATGAATTTGAACGTACTTTGAAGCTGCTTGATGGTTTTAAACATTCTGTCAGACCCTCTGGAACCGAGGATTTGGGACAGAATCATAGTAGTGGTGACGAATATTTCTGGCAATGTTTCTTTCTCGCTGCAATAACAAGCAATGGTCGTCGTCTGGGAGCATTGGCCTATCTTAACCGGAATCTCCCGAAACTCGGACAGTCGTCCTTGGAGCAAATAAATTCCTCATCTAATGGGTCTCACAAGAATGATCCAAATACGAATCAATCTCAATTGGCGGAAATTGTTACCTCGCCTGAGCCTGGGCTTCTTTTACGATGTTTCGCTGCTGGTTTGGGTGATGAACAAATCTTGATTCAACGCGGATTTTTAGATCTCCTGGTTACCCATTTACCTCTACATTCTAATGTTTTGCAACAACGTGTCAAACCGGAAGATCTCGAGCTTCTTGTCACGGCCGCTACTGGCGTTGTAACTCGACGTGATATGAGTTTGAATAGACGTCTATGGACATGGCTTTTGGGGCCAGAGCCAGTTGGCCATGATAATGAGAATGGCCCAGAATCACCAACATCGGTTACTGGAGATCCTCTTGGGTCGCATGCTTCTTCAAGGACCCAATACTTCGAAGCCCATGGCTTACATCCACTCACACAAGCTTTGCTTAAATTGATACAGCGAGAGGCCATAAATCCCATTGCAAAAGCTCGGCCGTTTCGAATATGTCTTTCCTTGATGGATCGATGGGAGATTGGTGGACTTGTCGTTCCTGATATATTCCTACCTGTTGTCAATAGTGTCCGAGACTATAAGAGTAAAGCAGTGAATAAGGCTGACTTTGCTGAAGTTCTCAGAAGTGCTAGTGTCTTTTTTGATGGAGTTGAAAGTGGTTTGATTTGGGGCGAAATCGTTGGGCTAATTGCACAGGCATTAGCCCCTAAAAATTTGTCAACTGAAGAGCAAATTGATAAATTGTCCCTCGTCACCTTCATAATCAACCATTTCAATGTACGAGAAGAAGAGATGCTGCTGATACACGCCCCACTAACAACTCTGACGATTTTAAGTATGCTAGAAGATGCTAAGGAAAGAATGCAGGAGCCCAAAGAGACGGTTGACGTCAAAAATGAAGTTGAGCAATTAGCTTTAAATCTTGTTATGGATTTGATCGATCTCATTCCAGAACGAGCTTTTCAGGTGCGGCCTTCCACCGGTCAGTCGATGGTCAGACACAATGAAGACGAGATCAAATCTCTTTCGAATGCCGAGATAATACGCAGTATGAAGACATTCTATGTCCAGGAACAAGGCAATTTGGATGCATTCCCACCACCATTTTCAGCTCGTGATCTTAGCGAATTGCTCATCCGCGAGGGCGGTAACATAGTTAACGAGAGTCTATCAAGTTCAGTGTCAAGTGCTGATGCTGGTCTTAAAACGAGGCTTCTCGTCATGCTACTCTCAAAAGTATCCAGGGTTGGAAGCCTTGATGTTCCGGGGCTGCTGGAGTCTATGCAAAGGAAATTGGGCATGCCATCTCAACTTCCATTTCTCACATTCACCTCAATCGTATCTCTTTGCACCAGTCTTTACTCAAATCATTATATCTCATTGCCACAGCTGTCCAACCTCGTAGATCCTCTCGTTCGATTGGCTTGGTCATATCTTTCTGCTTCTCATCCAAAATATCATGTTGAGACTGTTCGAAGCCTTTGGCAATTACAAAC